TAATTCACTAATATTTCTAAAAGAATGCTTGAACTCAATTAATATTTAATTTTACACATTCTAAACATATGCTTAGAAACAATCAAAGATGAACAAAAAGCATTCGAGTGGTATTTGAAAGCAGCAGAGTCAGGACAAATAAATGCGCAAAATAATCTTGCTCGCTGTTATGAAAATGGAAAAGGAACAATCAAAGATGAACAAAAAGCATTCAAGTGGTACTTGAAAGCAGCAGAGTCAGGACAACTTAATGCGCAATTTAATCTTGCTCTCTTTTATAAAAATGGAAAAGGAACAATCAAAGATGAACAAAAAGCATTCGAGTGGTATTTGAAAGCAGCAGAGTCAGGAGACCTTGATTCGCAAAATAATCTTGCTAGCTGTTATAAAAATGGAAAAGGAACGATCATAGATGAACAAAAAGCATTCGAGTGGTATTTGAAAGCAGCCGAGTCAGGAAACCTTAGTGCGCAAACTAACCTTGCTTTCTGTTATAAAAATGGAGAAGGAACAATCAAAAATGAACAAAAAGCATACGAATGGTACTTGAAAGCAGCAGAGTCAGGACACCTTAATGCGCAAAATAAGCTTGCTCTCTGTTATGAAAATGGAGAAGGAACAATCAAAGATGAACAAAAAGCATTCGAGTGGTATTTGAAAGCAGCAGAGTCAGGATATCTTTATGCACAATTTAATCTTGCTCTCTGTTATGAAAATGGAAAAGGAACAATTAAAGATGAACAAAAAGCATTCGTGTGGTATTTGAAAGCAGCAGAGTCAGGAAACCTTAGTGCGCAAACTAACCTTGCTCTCTGTTATAAAAATGGAAAAGGAACAATCAAAGATGAACAAAAAGCATTCGAGTGGTACTTGAAAGCAGCAGAGTCAGGGCACCTTGATGCACAAAATAACCTTGCCTCTTGTTATTATAAAGGAGAAGGAACAATCAAAAAAGAACAAAAAGCATTCGCGTGGTACTTGAAAGCAGCAGAGTCAGGACATCTTAACGCACAAAATAATCTTGCCAATTGTTATTATAATGGAAAAGGAACAATCAAAAATGAACAAAAAGCATTCGAGTGGTACTTGAAAGCAACAGAGTCAGGACACCTTAAAGCACAAAATAATCTTGCCTCTTGTTATTATAAAGGGGAAGGAACAATCAAAGATGAACAAAAAGCATTCGAGTTGTTCTTGAAAGCAGCAGAATCAGGTGACCTTAACGCACAATATAATCTTGCCACTTGTTATTATAAAGGAGAGGGAACAATCAAAGATGAACGAAAAGCATTCAAAGGGTATTTGAAAGCAGCAGAGTCAGGACATCTTACTGCACAATATTATATTGCGATCTTTTATGAAGATGGAAAAGGTACAATCAAAGATGAACAAAAAGCATTCGAGTGGTACTTGAAAGCAGCAGAAGCGGGACATATTGAATCACAATATAATATTGCGTCCCGCTATGACAATGGAAAAGGAACTAACAAAGATGAACAAAAATCATTCAAGTGGTACTTAAAAGCGGCAGAAGCAGGACATATTGAATCACAATATAATCTTGCCTATTGTTATTATAAAGGAGAAGGAACAAATAAAGATGAACAAAAAGCGTTCGAATGGTACTTGAAAGCAGCAGAGGCAGGGCATATTGAATCACAATATAATCTGGCCACTTGTTATTATAAAGGAAAAGGAACAATCAAAGATGAACAAGAAGCATTCGAGTGGTTTTTGAAAGCAGCAGAATCAGGACACCTTGACGCACAATATAATCTTGCCACCTGTTTTTCTAAAGGAGAAGGAACAATGAAAGATGAACAAAAAGCATTCAAGTGGTACTTGAAAGCAGTGTCAGGAAATCTTAATGCACAATATAATATTGCGTTCCATTATGAAAATGGAGAAGGAACAATTAAGGATGAAAAAAAAGCATTCGAGTGGTACTTGAAAGCAGCAGAGGCGGGACATATTGAATCACAATTCAAACTTGCGATCTTTTATAAATATGGAAAAGGAACAAACAAAGATGAACAAAAAGCATTCGAGCTATACTTAAAAGCAGCAGAAACAGGACACCTTTTTGCTCAAAATAACCTTGCCACTTGTTATTATGAAGGAGAAGGAACAAACAAAGATGAGCAAAAAGCTTTCGAGTGGTACTTGAAAGCAGCAGAGTCAGAACATCCTACTGCACAATATAATCTTGCAATATTATATTATAATAGCGAAAAAGATCAAGATAAAGGATTAGAGTTACTTTTAAAATCTGCTAGTTATGAAAAAAGTCAATTTTTATTAAGATATAGCTATCAAAGAAATTTAATTTCAAAAGATATGGAAGAATCTTTATTTGAATACCTTTTAACCACGTCTAAAAATGTTAGTAATTCGCATTTCTATTTTAGACTTGGACAATGCTATGAGTATGGTGAAGGAACAAAAAGAGATGATAATGAAGCATTTGATTGGTATTTAAGAGCTGCTGAGTCCGGAAATATTAAAGCGCAATTTAATCTTGGAAAATGCTATCAATATGGAATTGGTGTTTCGAAAAATCTCGATTTAGCATTGCAGTGGTATCAAAAGGCTGTTGAGAATGGACACGATCGAGCTCCTGAAATGGTTGAATCATTTGATTTTGACGAAATTTATTGCGACTAATAATTTTAGCGTAATTCATTTAATTTTTTTCAGTGTTTAAGAAATGTAAAAGGAAAGTTTAATGTTTTATTTTTTGTTTAGTTTTTATTATTATATATGCTGTTTTAACGAGTTTAGCAATTTAGTATAGCATAGCGTAATTTTTACGTTTTCGATAGTGCATAAGTATCAAATGCTTTCAGAGAAGACTATTTCTATAAATTTATCATGCTACAATAATGTTACGTATATTATAAATAATATAGGAAATCACATTAAGTTTTGGTTTTTCAATTAAAAATAAAACCATTATATATTAACAGTAAAATAAGTTAAACTAAATGTAAGTAATATTTGCTTCTCAATGATATGCAAGAGCTCGATTAAGTCCTGTGGTTTATTGTAATGAGAAGGATGGTTTATAAAGAGGGTCTGATATTGGTAGCTAATACAAGTATGTGTAGTAATGTTGCATGTTGTTCATTAATAGGTTTAACAGATTTGAAAAGGTTGCAACTTTTCGAACTAAATTTGTAATTTTCATCATACTTGATGTAATATTCTTAAATCGTACTATGGACCCGAGTCCCTTACATTTTTAACACGTATCCATGATATAGACGGGTGGTAATTACACATATCCGGTCTATTGAATTTCAAAGAGGGACAAGCTTAACAGGTTTGTGGGAAATTTAGGCCGCTGGATCTGTTCTTGGAGGGCTTCTGTAAAATGCGCGAAAGTTCTCTGTGCCAGTAACCACAGTTACTGAGAGCAGAAAAGATAAATCTTATTTATTATGACGAATGATTTGGGTAATGGAGAAGGGGATTAGTGACTAATTACTATTGATTATTTAATTATAATGACTTTCTTCCGGTGAAAGCGCAAACCCGAACCTGAATAATGCAAGCAACAAGAGGTAATTCTCTTCTAATTACTTTGTTCTTTATTATAACTTGTCTTGAATCGAAATAGTGAAAACCACTGTACCAAACATTATACTAAACAGCGTACCAAAGACTAACAGTGTGCCGAATTGTAATAACGCTCCAATATTGTAACAAAGTAAAAAAATAAACACAAAATAAAAAATAAAATAATAATTGAACATTACGAGTAATCGGTCCTAAATAATACATGTAATTTTATTATTTACATGTACTTGAAAAATGAAGTTAGGAAAGATCACGGGTTTTGGATCGCAATTAAGGAAACATTAATGCACGCAAATTTTGATCAGTCCGGCAAAACAGCAAGAAAATGAAAAGACAAAAATGCAAAAACAGATATCAAACTCTATCTTGGAGCGCTATTAAAAAATAATGTTGAGAAATTTTTACTTCTTTCCCACTTCTAAGCTTAACTATTGCACATGTGTACCCTAATGAAAAATCACTTTTTAATAGTTGTCGGCTCACATCTTATTGTTGATTATCATATGATCAGGAACCGAACACAGATTGTAATTATGCTAGCCCGACAACAAACGCAGGACTATACAACGTACCGACAGTTCACAATCCCCGGCGATACAACATCCCGACAGTTCAAAATCCGACAAGCGGCAGATCCAACTTCCCGAAATAGGGCACGGTTAAAGCGTAGTCTGTGTCCAACAGGGTTGCGAATATATATGATCAAATCCGGCAAAATAAATCCGTCACATGAAAAATGAATATTACAAGAAAACCAACGCCTAAATCTGTCTTTGAATACTAATTAAAATGTCGTGATGGTAATTTAATCATAAAATCTTGTCCTCTAACTATTACCTTTACCCTGTCCTATAAAACATTAAAATCAGTCAGAATGTTGAATTGTCGGATTGTAAACCGTCGAATAAGTGTCACATACCAAATGATCAATATACTATTAATATTTCTACATTGTACGAACTGGTTTAATAATTTAGTAGACTTCTTCGGTAGTTGAGGATTGTTTTTCATCATGATATATATTATCATTTGTAATGACTTCTAACTTCTTTTGATATTTTCAATCAGATTGAGAATAGTTATGAAAGACAATTATTTTAATAGGCTTTTATCATCTAATTACATAACAATAATTTTTATTTTGTGATATAAGCTCTTACATTTACAAAATCATAAACTTAATTTGAGGATTACATGTAAATGACAAGTTAACGTTAACGTTAGATTTGCTGATCATCGTTATCCGATGAAATCGGGTTATATTGATATGGAAAGTTCGGTTTATCTTGATATAATTGTGAATATTTTTTATATAATGGATCAAATTGCGGCATAGGAAAGTGATATTGACTAATAAATGGGTTTTGATCCTGAGCTTGGATTGGAAATCCTATTGGATTAATATTTAAAATATTAGCCGTATCTTGTCCTTTGTCTAAATCTTCCCCTTTGTCCAAATCTTCCGAAACCCTTCCATTTTGAGTAATCACATATGAGTCAAATTTTTTTCGATGCATAATGATAAAAAATAACACAAAAGCAATAATAATAAGTGCACCACCGGATGCACATCCAATAATAAGCATCTTATTATTTTGCTTTTTGTCCTCAGTAGTTATGCTTGCTGAACCAGTAGTTGGTAATGTTCTCACTTTGTAAGTAGGAACCCAAGTCAATGAGCTTAAATTTGTCACGTCCATAACTTTTACTTCAGGTGTAAGAAAATCATCCCCATAAACTCCTACAAAACAAAATATAAGGACATAAAAGAAAAACGTCACAAAGAATAAAGGAAATAAAAAAGGCAAAGTTTACCTAAAGCTATAATCATATATCCATCATACATAACTGCCGTATGGTTTCTTGTCACATGCATATAAGGTAGACTAGGAATCGATTGCTTGGACCACGTCCAAGTTTTAGTATTCAAGATGTACAGCGAGTCATCATTGGGGATTTGGCTTTCTATAGGCTCGTAAATCCCTCCGTACAGAATTATAGAAATGGAATCAGAGTCTTTTATTTCAAAGAAATAATCATATTAGTCATTGTTTTATTTATTGTTATTTGCACAAATAGAAATTTTGAAATTTCCTTACGGAGTAATGCTGAATGATGAGCTCGATTTTTCATTGGCTTCTCATTATCACTTTTTGATAACTAAATAGAATAAAATTTTAATATTTATATCGCACTATATAACATCCATAGGCTTGGCTTACTTGTATATTCCATTCATGTTTTATCGTATCAAATATTAATAACTGAATAATTGAGAACAAATTAAAATAAATTCCAAGAATAAAATCATATTAATCATATCACATTACCTCAAAAAAATTAACTTCTGGATATGGGCTTCTATTAATTCCGCCAATATAAATGATTCGACCATCATCTAATAATGTAGCCGAATAAGCTGCCCTTGGATTCGGTGCATTATCGAAGATATAGCTTTTCCAATTGCTAGATTCAAATACGTACATTGTTTTATTATCTTGTTCTTCATTGAATCCACCCCATATGAAAATTCTCGAAAGATTATCAATAACTGGAACTATTCCATCTCGTACACTTGGCCATGCTTCTCCTTGATTTGGCGAAGATGCTGTCCAGTCTAAGAAAGTGTCATTGGACAGCTTTATTGTATACATTGTGTTTACTTTAGGTAAAGTCTTTGAATAATAAACGACGATTAAATATGTTACTCATGATTGAATAAAAATCAATAAAACAATTCAAAGTTTACCGATTGCGATGCATCACTTCCACCAAATATATAAATAGTTTCATCTTCTTTTTTTACGCAAGCAGCAGTCCAGACAGGTGATGATTTATTTCCATTTCCAAATCCAAAAACTTCAACAAAATTTGGTTTCGTTACTATAAAATCTGAAGTTAAATCCAATAGATACGTATTGATTTTTTGAGGAGGTGTTGTTTTACCACCGATAAAATAAATTTTCTTTCCAATCAAAGCTGCATTGCTCCCATCACGTGGAAGTGAAGCAGGGTCAATTCCACCAATATCAAGAGCCAAATTGTCGAGAATATCGGAAGAGGAAGGACCTGATCCTTTAAAATTACCAGTATTATTTGGATCACCTAATGGAGTTATCGTAGCATTGAATATTGGTGGTAGGTTTGCTCGAGTAATGTCAATGATTGGTAATGGTTTTGTTGAAGTGCCGGCAAGTATAATATCAGCACAATTTTGCCAGAATTCACGCTTACTGTCATTAGGTATCCATGTCCAAGAAAAAATACATTTTCCAGGATTATTGCATGATGGAGCGGCAGACGGAATTTTTACTGTCCAATTAAAGTAGACATCTGGGCAAGTCCTAAGATAAGTAGCAATAACCGTATATGTTTGACCTCCATCGTATGATAAAGAGAATTCGCATTGTCCACCATTATGTCTTCCTTGATCAGTTTTTTCATGATCTGGTGGCAGATCATCAGGAATATTTGGATTCCAGAAGCTCACATTAATAACTTCGCCAGCATGGAAAATTTGGGTGATCTTGCTGTCTATCGGATAGCCACCACATGGAAAAGTCTTCACTTTTGTACTGTTTTTACATTCGTTTAATGGCGCAGTAATACATTCAGTATCATTTTCAGCAGCGTTAGGGTTTCGTGGGTGACCTCGTGTAAGTGGATAAAGCATTGATGTGTGTGCTGACACAGCAACAACACATAATGCGAATATTGAAAAAAACTTCATTTTTTGAAAGAACAATGTATTATTATGAACTGTTCTAAATTGGGACAGTAATGAAAGCAAAGAAACACTATTCTAAACTTAGAACAGTAGTGAAAAAATTTTTAATTCAATAGAATTCAATGATATTTATATTTCAACCAGCAATCACAATTTATGTAACAGTAACAGTAATTTTGCTATAAAAGGATTCATTTCAGCAAGCATGACAATAGCAACATAATTTTTTCTGCCATAAAAGGATTCATTTTCAGCAAGCATAACAATGACAACATAAATTTTTTGTTATAAAAGGATTCATTTTCAGCGAATAAAACAACACTATGGTTTTTAATTCTCTATAAACGGTTTCATTTTAGCAAAGCAACATCATAATGGTTGTACATGTAATTGAATTGGAGCATGACAAATTTTATATTATAAATTTCGTAACCTTTACAATAAATTACGGCACTATAAAATTAACATCAGTAAGACATAGTAAGATACGAAACTTTCTCGTTATATAAAAGTTTTTAATTTTGCTAATAATTATTTTTATATCAAAATAAAGATGATAACATATAACCTCACATATATTACTTCAAGATTCTTTTCTAGAAATTTGCTCTAATTTAAAGATTTTTTCTAATTAAAATACAAATTTAATTAGAAAAAATTTTTTGCAACTTTTTCAAAAAAAAACCTGACAATATGTGAAATTTATCTTCGTTTTATGCAAAATAAACCATATTTGTTATTAACAAAAATTAAAAATTTTTATATAGTGAGAAAACCTCGTAGTTTACTTTTTTTGATATTCTGATAATTTATTGTACGTACTACATGTACAGCAATAGCAACTAACAGAACGGTGCGTTAGCGTTGCAAAATCTATGTTCTGGATAGGGGTCTGCTTTGAGCTAGAAACTTATGACAAATGTGAAAATTACATGTTCCATTATTTTTCATGGATAAAGGTTGCCATTTACATGCGGTTACATGTACATGTATATCAAAAACTTGCTTGAATTAGGGCAAATTTCTTGACAATGAGTTTTCGAAATTTTTAGATTTCAACTTTGAAGCTGTTATGTTGAAAAAGAACATATGATATTTCTGTGTGCATGATGCATAAATAAGATTTGCCTATTGTCATAAACTACGCTTAATTTTGGCCGGTACATGTATTTTAAAGATCAATAAATTATTATGAGTGTTACGCCTTCCTCCAAAGAGATAACTCCAATTAAGTGTGTCAAATTAAGTAATTTACGATTAAAGGGCTTCTTTAATGCTCTAAAGTATTCCCGTAGCGACTTGTATGCAAATGGACCTTTAACAAATGAAGCTTTAGTAATAAAAATATATTCGAGAAGGTTTCTGATCACCCACAGCAAAAGATTAATCAGCAAAATTATTGACGTGGCCTGGCAAAGGTGATTTGTACGCAAATCATCCTTTTACAAATGGTAATTTTTAGTTTCGATGAGGCGTCAAGGAGGTTTCTGATAACCAGCAACAAAAAGAGTCTACATCAATGACAAAGTGTTCCAAAGTTCTTGATCACCTACAAACAAAATAAGAAGCAATAATTCAGCTAACCAAAAATTACGATACATAAAAACAAAGGATGGATTTAGTTTCTGCCAAAAAATCAAAGTCAATTATAGATTATTTAGAGTGAAGGTCATTTCTATTTGTACACAAGTTTTGAAGATAATCAGACAAAGAGATATATACATAAGTAAAGGAGTTTTTACAGGTAAAGTATTTTGTTTATTTGATCAGAGCATAATGTTCAAAGGCTTAAAATCTCGTCTTTTTATACAAATCGACTATTACTAATTCTATATTAATGATATTCTATTGTTACGCGCCATCCAAAGTTAGTTTGATTGAGAATTACGGACGCGAGAGCTGGACTGAATGATTTACACAGAATGGGGTATCACTAAAGTTCTAAAAGCTTCCTGCACCAACTTACACGGAGATTGTACAATCAAAGGGGCAATAATTTTAAATAATAATAATATTTAATGAAGATTCAGTACAAATTATGGAGGAGTAGTAAAGGTAAAGAAAAAAAATGATATTATTCAATTCAAATTAATAAAATTATTAACAACATATGATTTTAATTCAGATAACAAAACATACTATATTAATTTACTTTAATAGTAATAGAACCAAACATATAATAACACTGAGTTCAAACAAAAAAATCTTTAATTCTCAAAGAGTCACAAATGAATCATAGAATCAGATATGATTCTTTAACTTTATATAACCAAAGAAGTAAAACTTTCAATTGGTAAGTGCAAAAAAATTAAAGCTATTGATTTGTTGAGGCACAAAAAGAAATAAAATCTGAAGCAATGTTAGATGAGATTTAAAAATAATTTTGATTTTATTTATTTTTCTTCAAATCATACAAAGGTTTGTTTTTCTATTTTGGAAGAAGATATTCCTTTTATACATTTTGTTTTGTATCACTAACTACTTTCTATTATATAAATCTAGACTATAGAACTTTATGGAATAGAATGTATAAAATATACTTGAATTTTATGAAAAGAGGCATGACTTCATTATTATTGCAAAATAGTATTATGACAAATTGATAAGTGAGGTTTCACTTGAATTTATCTTAATAATATAAAGTTGGGAGAGACTGAAATAATTAAAGAGTGAAGAGAGGGAAATTAGACTATAACTTTCAATAATGATAAAGATTTCTAAGATCTGTGCCAATATCTACAGATATTGTCTCAAAAAGGGTAATAAAATAAAGAAATAAATAAATAAATCAAAGAATTTATAAAGATTGACTGAGTGAAGTCACTAGTAATCAATATAATTCAAGATTTAAATTGATTAAATAGCAAGTTATTAATCAAAGAAGACTATAACTAAGGCAAAGATAAAAAAACTAAAATACAAAAATTAAATAACTAAACAAATAAAAGATATGACTTATTTATAGTAGAAATCTTCTACTCTCAAAAATAATAAATAAAAAGTATGACTTATTTATAGCAAAGAACTTCTACTCTCAAAATAATATTAAATAAATCAAAAATCAATATAATGTTATAATT